AAAAAAAAAAAAAAGAAAGAGCAATCAGCTTGCTAAGGTCTGAGGCTGCACAGATGGCTGGAACGGACGTTCACACTCACTCTGACGCTGTACAGGGCGTTGACCAGTAAGTTCTTTATTTCTGTAAAGTTACTAGCAGCCCTCTGGGAGGCCCACATCTTGGAACCGCTCCGGCTGTATTCTACCTAAAATGAAAAGAAAAAATGTGAGTGAAAGGTAACCAAAGGTCTGGGGCACCCTCCTACCCTGCAAGGAGGCAAGAGGGGAGAGGAGAAGGCAGGGCAGGTGATGAACTGATGGATAAGTCATTCATTCCTACAAAGCTATGTCACACTCAACTCCTGGTTGCATAAAACATCCAGAAATCTCCCAGCTCCTGCACTTATGCGACCCACTCCTGGAAGATACTTACAATGTACTCACGGATGAGGCCGTGGGTGTGGAGGGGAGGAGTCCAGTGGCCCACAATCACACCTTCTGCTTCCCTGTGGAGTGACAACTGGAGATTTCGAGGGGCATCTGGCACTAGAAAAGAGTCGACTCGAGGTTAAAACCCATCTGCATAGTGGCCAACCAGGGGAGGATTTTGCTGAGCTTCAAACAAGGACAGGAAAGAACTCAGAGCTGGCAGTGGGACCCGTCCACCAGAAAGACCACTAGCTTGGTCTTCACACTGACAAGATGCCTTCCTGCTTCCTTTAGAAAGCAAGGTGTGCTGGCCTACACCACAGATCATGGCTCAGTCCAGTGTCCCATGAATTTGTGGCTCACAGGGGCTGCAGGATGAAATCACTTGGGCAGGCTGAGTCACCTCTGACTCCGGGACTTCCATGCTGTGAACCTAATCGCCACCAACAGCACCTGCTGCCCCTGCTTCTTGTATAACAAAATAGAGTACCGTGGGCATGACTACCATGGAATAAGACTAATTTCCCCACATCACAGAAATTCTTTATCCAAATGAACATGACAACCTTCAAAGCAGACTCCTTAATGAGTTTAGTGAAAGATATTTCAGGCTATGGAAAAAGATGACAGTTAGGTAGTTGCTCATGTTTTCCTCTCTTAGACACAGAAATTCGGTAAATTTCTTTAAAAGGGAGCCACAGAACTGCTGATATGCCTGGTGTGGGAATGGCGATGACCTCATACATACTAAGTATTGGGAAATACTGAGGGAAAGAACACAGAGGTGAAAACTAGATAAGAAGCACGGAAGAGGGCCATGGTGGAGAGAATTGGAAATTACTATTTTTTTTTTTCTTTTTCAAGACAGAGCCTCAAGCTGTCGCCCTGGGTAGAGTGCTGTGGCATCATAACTCAAAGCAACCTCCAACTCCTGGGCTCAAGCGATTCTCCTGCCCCCGTCTCCCAAGTAGCTGGGACTACAGGCATACACCACAACGACCAGCTATTTTTTGGTTGCAGCTGTCACTGTTGTTTGGTGGGCCCAGGCTGGATTCAAACCCGCCAGCTCAGGTGTATGTGGCTGGCACCTTAGCTGCTTAAGCCACAGGTGCCAAGCCTGAAATTAACTTATGATCCGAGAGCATTCTCCGACACTGTAAGGACGGTCAACATTCAACAACTCTGGCAAGACCCTCCTGCACACGTAAGATAGCTCTATGTTCCCACACTCCCGAGCATCCTTGGAAAAAGCTCTCAGAAGCCCAGGTAAGGTCCTCAATATGTCATAACAACAAACTATAACACTTACATCCTTCTGGAGTCCTCAGGGTCACAAAGTCATTGGTGTTGTGTGCCTTGCTCAGACATTGAACCTGCACTTTAACCTGATACGTGGTGTCTGGTTTCAAGACTTTTAATACAGTGTTTGTTTTATTGCTGTGGGTCTCCAGAGTCTTCCATATGCTTTCTCCAACCACCCTGTCCAAAAGAATAAAGATACTGTCACCTCGAGCAGAGATACAGGACTCCGTTAATACCGAGTCACACCATGCACATACAGCCAGTTTATAAACATCCAGCACCAATGGAGACATCACTTTCTTGTCCAGCAGCGAAGATGGGACCCACCTGTAGTAGACGTTATATACACAAGAAGCAGAAGGCATTTTCTTGGGCTTCATCCAGGTCAAAGTCACATCCCCAGAGAAGTCAGCTGTCCACTGAAGATTCTGTACTTTGTATACAGTTAACTCATCTAGAGAGATTAAGGGGTAAAAAAAGTCAAAGGAAGTTATATCTTATAAATCCTTGGATTTCAAAGAACCCAACAGGTCCTCTGCTTTTAAACAGAACTGCTACGATCTAGTTTGTTAGGAGGCCACATCATCATCTGAAAAAATATACCAGAAAATGTAGTTGAAACTTCCCTGTCCAACCTTTCCAAGGGTCTCCTACAATCCCAGTCATTGTAGTTTTTTCCTTTCTTTTCACTTCCTTCTTGCCTGTGACAATTTAAGCCTCTTTCTCAATAAAGAATGCTGCGAGTCCAATGTCATAACAGAATTCATTACCAAATGCACTCCAGGGAGGAACGAGTTAACCCCAACAGCAGCGTGAGGCTCGGTGAGAGCCATGGGGTATCAGCATGAGGTGGGAAGGCCATCAGAAACAAATCTAAGACCAGCATTTCAGCAACAGGGAGGAGGCAGCTGGAAATTATGGCAGTCTGGTTAAGCCTCACCTGACTCACAGCTCCCAAACTGGGCAGAATCTGTTTCATTTTCAGACTGAGGGAAAGTTCAAAAGGCTCCTAGCTAGAGATCCATGCAAGAAGCCCAGGATGAGCCCTGAGGGATGAGCCGCCCAGCCCAGCCCAGCCCAACCCAGCCCGGCCCAGCCCAGCCCGGCCCAGCCCAGCCCAGCCCAGCACTCACCACTGCAGGCCCTCTCGTCGCTCTCATCCGAGCAGTCCAGGAAGCCATCACAGCGCTCTGACAGCACAATGCAGGCCTCGCCATCCTCACACTTGAACTCCCTGCTCATACAGGTCAACGTGCTATGTGTGGCTGAAATACAAAGCGGAGGGCCGCGCTGTGATGATGGCTGGACCCAGGTTTACTTGGGTTTAGAAACAGTGTTTTAAAATCTTTGAACTAATTGGCTTTTACTTCGAAATACATCTCTAGGATGAGGAATAGTACAATCTACACTGGTGTTGTGGTATCGTTTTATTTAATATGAACAACTGAGATCTGCTTTCAGAAAAAGTGAGTCCTTTGAGCACGACATAGTGGCTTATGGCTGTAATCCCAGCAGTTTGGAAGGCTGAGGCAGGTGGATTGCTTGGGCTCAGGAGTTTGAGACCAGACTGAGCAAGAACAAGACCCCATCACTGCTAAAAATAGAAAAACGACCTGGGCATTGTGGCAGGTGCCAGCTACTCAGGAGGCTGAGGCAAGAGGATCACTCGAGCCCAAGAGTTTGAGGTTGCTGTGAGCTATGACATCACAGCACTCTACCAAGGATGACAGAGTGAGACTCTGTCTCCACCTGCCCCTCCACCCCTGCAAAAAAATGAGTGTTTTGGCCTCAAACAAACTAGGGTTTAAATTCTAACTCATCAGGACTAAGGACGAGAACCTCTGCTCTAGAACCAGGAACCAGTAATCCTGTTTTCTACCTGAGGCACTGCATCTACTGATGAGAACATCTCTTTAAGATGTAGGCAGAGGAAGTGGATAGTAATCAGACAGGAGCAACCAGGCTGATCAAGTGGAATGGATAAAGGATACAGGGATATTTTCCTGTATCAGTGAAAAGATAAAAGGATTGTGTGGGGAGGTAATGAGAAGGGCTGTGGGACTCAACTGATTTAAGGTTTCATTTGCAAGAAGAATTAAGGCTTTTTTGCATGAATCTCTAAGATGGAAGTACAGACTTCAGTACTCATAAAAGGAGAGGTCTCTAACCCACTAAATCTCAATGGGAGATGGGAGCTATCAAAAGCACTTAGGAGGTGTTTTTGTTTTGTTTTGTTTTTATAAACTACAATCCCTCATCTCCATGAAAATCCCTGCATTTCAGAATTCTATTACATGCTGAGCTAAAATCAGTTTGCCTTGGGAGGTGAAGGGGGGGCTTCATCACAAATGAAAGTGCATGAAAGCATGAACAAAGGTTTGAAGTTCAAGATGGAATTCCTCCATCCTTCTGGTGAATGTTCATGGAAGGTCTACCATGAATCACAGACTGCTCTCAGTGCTAAGAACACATGACCTATAAAACAAAGCACCTACCCTCACAGAATTTACTTTCTATTTGGAGAAACTGCAAACAAGCAGTAAATAAATAGGTGTATTCAGGGTTATGCCATTTTACGTGGAATAGTCAGAGAGACTCTTCCGCTCAGAAGGGAATTATTTTAAAAAATACCAAGATCACGTTTAAGTATTTCACTTGGGAACGTAGGCCCTCAGCAAAACATACTTAAACACGGAGGCCAGGGGAGCAAAAGTTTTTCTCTCACCTTCTCCTGCCCGCCTATCTCTCAGTCCCATTCTCCCCTGAGCCTAGCTTTAAAAACTAGAATCCCTATTACCCAAAGCAGATCACAGAAACCAGAACCCATTACGGCCAGCTATAAAATCTAAAAATATTACTCTAACTTCCCTTCCGCCTTTCTGGATAACAACTGGCCTCATGAACAAAATGATCAAAACTCTGCTCTTCTGGAAGCCACAGCTGGAGAGAATCTAAGACCTGCTCAGACAGCAAAAGGGTACGAATCTCTCAGCAGCCAGGCTCCCAGCCTCCGTCTGGGCAATCTGGTTGAGCAGACAGTACAAATCTCTACTTCCTCTGCAAAATTCTGATGAATGGGAGAAAAGATTTGCGTGGCTACTCTCCTAGGGCCTCTGGTGTACTTCCCAGTACTCTGCGGTATGAATATTCATAATGTGATCCTCTCCCTCCCAGAAATAGTCTTTTTTTTTTTTGTCTTAGTCTTCCTGTGTTGGTGATAAAGAAGGATACAGAATAATGTTCCCCGTCTTCTTGTGACCAAGTGGGAGCCCTCTCGCTTGGTCTCCGTCACCCACGGGGGGTGATCTTCAGGTCACACCAAGTGGCCAGTCTGAACGTGGCTGAGAATCTGAGATTTGGTTTGTTTGTTTCAAATGTGTCAAATTCTCTGAAAAGTCTGTTGTAAAAAGAAGTTCCATCCATGATGGGCTTTTGTCCTTTCAACCCTTGTTACCTGGTCAGTCTACAGTAACAAGAGTCTTTGGATCTCTTAGCCTGTCCTGGGAGTGAATATTTTGGTGGAGATCTTTGGATCTGCTTTTTTTATGCCCTCTTCAGGCACATATTATTTCCCTCTGTGTGTGGGGCAGCACCCTCTCTGGAAGGGGGGGGGTCTTAAGATCTAAAAGATCTGACAATTAAGTTTGCAAACGCATCCTAGAAAGTGTGCTCCGTGCCTCATAGCTGAATATCACTACGGTCACCTGCAAAGTGCCCCCTAAGTGCACAGACCCCAGCACCTAGTCCACCCTTCAAAGCAATTTTGGAACTCTTTTTCTGAAACGGCCATCAGCGCTGTCATCCTCTTACCCCTGATGTCCTGAATGTCATCAAAATGTCTTCTTTACAATATTTCCTTTATCTTTGGGTAGAGGAAAAAGTCTTTGGGGGCCAGATCAGGTGAATAGGGAGGGTATTACAATACAGTTGTTTTCTTTTTTCTTTTTTTTTTTGGAGACAGAGCCTCAGACTGTCACCCTGGGTAGAGTACTATGGCATCACAGCTCACAGCAACCTCCAACTCCTGGGCTCAAGTGATTCTCCTGCCTCCGCCTCCCAAGTAGCTAGAACTATAGGCACCCACGACAACACCTGGCTATTTTTTGGTTGCAGCCGTCCTTGTTATTTGGTGGGCCGGGCAGGATTCAAACCCACCAGCTCAGGTGTATGTGGCTGGCGCCTTAGCCACTTGAGCCACAGGCACCGAGCCTACAGTTGTTTTCTGGCTAAAAACTTGCTCACAGACAGCGCCGTGTGAGCTGGTGCATGGTCATGATGCAAGAGCCACACCTTTCACATGCCAAGATTTTCAGTGAAGATTTTCCTGTTTCTCTATTGATGTTTACCTGGTCAGCTGTGCTTCTCCCAGTCAGCCAACGATTTAGACGCACAATTCCACAAACGTATGCAATGTTCTCATCAGTTCTGCTCATCACTAGCCACCTTAACCTCTCTTCAGCAGCGATGCTTTCCCTCCCATTAGAAAAACATTTAATCCATTTGTACACTGCTGTTTTCTTCAGGGCATCATCCCTACACACTTGGACTCACCCGTCCTTGATTTGACTTCCACTCTTGCCAAGTTTAATAAGAAATTTCATGTTTGCTCCTTGCACTAATTCAAGCTCTGACATTCTCGCGAAGCCACACAAAAACTTGTAACAACAATAACGAACGGCACTCAGCAAGACACCACCGCCCGCTGACATGAACACAGCTGTGAGACACTGATACGCCAAGGTTCTGAGACCTGACTGAGCTGTGTGCACAGCGCTGCCAACGTAAGCGCACAATGGCAGGTTCACAAACTCAATTGTCAGACCTCGGTAGAGTGGAACAATGTAGGTCACACCATTTATTTCTCTATGGTCTTTGCCCCTCCAGGAAGAATGTAGTAAAATAGCATCAAACTACAGCTGAGTAATAAAGCAAAAGGATGTTTGAGGGTTCTTTATAAAACATGTCTCGACGTTTTAAAAGCAGGGAAACGTGGGTTTTGGGATCTGGGAACATGGGTGTCATTAATCTCCGAAAATTCTTAAACTGATTATTAAACCGATGACTAATGAGGACTTAGAACAGAACGCAGCGGCCTTCGGGGACCAGCTCCTCTAAGAAGAATCATGTTATAATAATCTCATTGCGCTTTTTGATAAGGCGATCAAATTAATGCTGAAAACATCGCGGAGATAGCACATCTGGATTTTAAGACCCTTAACTAAGCAACATCCTTGTGAATAAGATGGATTTGAAATGGGGTGAAAACACTGAAGAATGCCAATTAATGAATTAATATCACCCAGGAGGGCAATCCTATTTCTTTTCCTCTTTGTTAATTATTTTTAATGTTCATCTTCTTTTGTGGCTGCTGATTTGATTCAATGTTCCTACTGTTATTTGGGGGAGTGTGGGATCAACCTGCCCTGTTATTTTAATGCCCCAGGAGTCCACTTTGCTCATTATTTTAGTTTAAGCAGAACCGTACACTAATCCCTGTTCAGTTTCTCTGTGGTGGCTGTGGTGTATTCCTTCCAGATAAGAACTTTAATACTGTACAGATCACAACTTTCTGCAAGAAAAACCTAAATAAATACCCCAGTCTACAACTGACTACGCGATCCTCTTGAAACCTTAATTTTCTTTCTTATTTCTAACATGGAAATAATACCCAAACAAAACCTATTTTGAGAACTAAACGAAATGAACATGTGATTGACCTGAGAATAGTGAATGGCACATTAAAAGCCATGTTAGTTTCCAAATGTAAGTTTCTATCTGTAAATTCTTACTATTTCACCAGAAAATGAGCTATCCTATTGAACTTTATTTGCAGATATGGTAAGTGTGCCTTCCAAGTTTTCACCTAAGTCATTAATGACATTTGAAACAAGACAGGGCCACTTAAAAAGCATCAGAAAATTTTACAACAGCAAATGCAAGGGGCAAAGTGCAAGTCACGGGAAAACAACTACTTCTGATAAAACAGAAAGAAAAATAAAACGGCTGAAAAGAACAAGGAAGAAGACAGGCATGATAATGAAAGAAATATACACAGCAACAAACTAAGAAAATCCGTTAAGGGCTTAGAGAAGGTGGCAACTCCCAGCTAGATACTGAAAACTTAAAAAAAAAAAAAAAATCGACACAGCTGAATCATTTCTCCACTGAGAAAAACATGTAATAGTGCAAATAAAACTTACCTTAATTTTGAAAATAAGTGAAAAGGCTCAACCATACAAATTATAGAAGTGACAAAGAAATGAGAAAGGAATATAATATCCCAAGGTTAACCAAAGAAATAAAAATATTCCTTACTATCTAAATTTATCTGGATTTATAACTTAGTATCAAGAAATACCAAATGAGGGCGGCACCTGTGGCTCAAAAGAGTAGGGCGCTGGCCCCATATACTGGAGGCGGCGGGCTCAAAACCTGGCCCCGCCAAAAAACTGAAAAAAAAAAAAAAAGAAAGAAATACCAAATGATCTGAATCTTTCTGGTTCCTGAAAACAAGTGGCAGGTCCTTGATAAAGGGATTCACCCTCAAAATGCATCTGAATCGACTCAATTCCTAAGTTCAGACTGGAAGGGTTTAGTAGTACAGAATTTCTTACCATTTTCCTAAACTAAAAAAAGCAAGCAGACAAAACAAAAAATTCACCCAAGCTGGGAAATTGAAGGAGTAGGAATATTCAAAGAATATTTCATGAAAAAAGACCTCTCTGTGGCAACTTGTCAAATTGCCTGACTTTAAGACAAAGGTAGGATCCCGACAGCCAAAAAAAAGCAGAAGTGACGTTCTGGGAAATGAAAGGACGCAGAGCAGTGGGGGTCCTGGCACCTCTGTAGAAAAAGTGCAAAGAGAAAAATCTATGCATAGTAGAAATCAATGAGTTTATGTTTCAAGTTAAGGACTTGGCCGAGATTATTTTTCTCCTAAGTCAGAGCGTATCAAGACCTAAAGGACCTACTGAAATTTGTCTCCAAAAGCTCATGACCACAGAGGTCATTATAGGAAACAATGTGAGTGTAAGAGCTGGCAGACTCACATCCTCAGTCAGCTAGAGAAGATCACCAGCAAAGATGGACAGGAAGCCTCACATCCGCAGTCAGCTGGAGAAGATCACCAGCAAAGATGGACAGGCAGCAAAGGCCTTCTACAGTTTCTGACCTCACCTCTGAACTTCCCAACCGGACGTCTCAGGCTACCCTGGATGCTAATGTCAATCAATGAACCTGTTATCACCCCGAGCCCACCCAGGGAAACTCACGAACACTCATCCATCAGTTTCCCTCCCCCATCAAGAACAAATGTTCATTCTTCCTTCTTTCTGAGACCCACTGCAAAAAAATAATCACTGGCTACTGTGAAGATTACATTCAATATACCAAGAGGCCATTCTTCCATTTTTACCTTCACCGGCCCACCAGGTTACCCATAGTGGCCTCCTAACTGGCAGCTGGCCTCCAATCTCACCTCCTGCTTCTTCCAGACCATCTTCTATGATGAAGTCCGAGTGATCCACTGTATAAACACCTCTCCCTAAAACCTGCAATGGCTCCCCATGACCAGGGCAATGAAGTCCCACAGCCCCACCTTCACCTCTGCCCCACCCGTAGCTATTCCACGAGTCTGCTTTCTTATACCTCTGAGCCTCATGGCTTCCATGGTGTCCCTTGCTCCTGGGATGCCTCTCCTCTACCACCTTGCCCCAAAGTTCTCCATTAAACCCTTCTCAGGCATCATGGACTGGGATGCCTTTCCTGACCTGCTCCCACCTCTTCAGGAAGTTGGCCAGGTCCACTTCCAGACAGTTCCTTGGTCAGAATTCCATCACTGCTAACACCACACTATGTAACTGCTGGCTAGAATGTGTATTCCCAGCAACCTGACCAATGTCTGCCACATCGTGTGTGATCAACAAATGTGTGTCCAACCAGACAGAAATGTCCTTGCACACACACCTTTCATTATAACCAAGACCCT